TTTTGCAACCTAATCCAGCTAGAAATGTTTCTCTGCCACCATTGGACAAACATCTAGATTCCTTCGAGGAAGTTCCTAGTGTGGTTTTACTTCTATCTTCGTGCGTTCCATCACTGACCTCTGCTTGGTCTTCATTTGCTACCACTGATATTGTGTCAGCCATCCCATTGGTACCACTGCCTTCAAGATCTTCCGGACAATACTCATCACTGCAAAGAAGAAAGCAACCCGACCACATCATATCAGTGTAAATCGAGCTTGTATTCCACATGGAATGAGGTTGATTCATATGCTTAAGGGCCCTCCACTCATTGTCAATTGGTTTGGGTTAGATGCTCTAATAATCAAAACTCAAATAAGATCACTCCAATGAATATTTTGAATTTAGTAATCCTGCCTCAAAGGTGGCCCCATTCAAACCCCCATTATCTAGAACATGCTGATACAAGGCTAAAAATTCAAGTATCCAGAATAAGATAGTTGGGTAGTAAAATTTCACCACTTATGTGTTAAAGTTGGTGTTGGTATACTGTGCCATCTGTACTCCGGAGGTGTTTGAGGGTGAGGATTCCATAACATCAGATGTTGGTTGTGTTGAGCGCTTCTTGGGAAGACTGGCTGACTCCATATGTGTGAGCTGGAGAGGGATAGATTGTGAAGGAGACTAATAGAAATAAAGTGGGGGGACACATAAGGGAATGAATACCGAGAGAGGGGAGGTGAATGGTACAGCTGGCTGAGAATCAGATTTGATAAAATGGATGGTGCAGGAACATGGCTTTCAAGGAATTTTTTCCAAAGCAGTTTATGGCTGTAGGGAACAGGGATGTCTCAACTATGGAACATGTAAATTGCTTACCACATCTGCCTACACAGCACATTTTTCAGAGCGATGAGAGTATTGGAAGTTTGAGGGGGCAGGAGACTTCTGTGGAACACTTTTAAGTCACTTTAGTGGCAAAAAAAATTCATCATTTTCCTTGGCGAGGCTCTTGGTGGACATTAGGCCAGTAAAGGCAGTGTTTCTTGTTATCACAGCAACTCTGGAAGCCAGTTTAAAGCAATGATGTAGAGAAGATGACATAAGATTACTATAAAAAGGAGTTTTAGGTGCAGGAGCGATGAAGGCAATGAATCACAATATAAGGCATTGTGCAGTTGCAAGGGAGATGTGCTTTTAATGGAGCCCATGGAAATAGAAAAACAGGTGGATTTGCGATGAAGTAAATGCCCCCATTCCCAAAGTACCTGTTGAACACGTTAGTACATTGATTTTTTTTGTAATTAGTGCATACACGTAGATGTAAATACAAGTGCCTTTTATTTTTGATCAAGTATTTAGGGTAAGTCCTTTTCATGACCTTCAATTCAAAAAATTAAGTGAATTTGTCCACGTCGTAGACCCAACAGGCCTCACATTTTAACAAATTATCACTGGCATTGAGTTCAACATTCTGACTGATAAATTTCCAAAGGTTAAATTAGTAGCATTGTACCTTGTAGCGAAAAATAAGTATATACAGAAATTCCCATTTCTAAAAGCCTTCTAATGACGGATTTTGTTTTTCCCACTTTGTGTAAGGCATGACGAATATCATCCATTAGAAATTACAGCAGATAGCTTCGCAAGAGCTTAAATCTCTCAACAGGACATCGCTAAATAAATAAATGAACAAATATGTAAATATGAGATGATCGTACACGTAGTTGGTCAAGCAATCGTCTTTTTGCCTCGGTATATACACCAATATAAATTGAGACGAACCCTCTCCATTAGAATTCGACGTCTGCAGCAAAATTTAACAAAACATGAACAGAAAATAGTATGTGCGTGTGTGTGTGTGTGTGTATAAAACAGTACGCAGAGTACCTGAACGATGGCGCTGGAGCCAAAGGGGAGAGCAGAATCTGAGAGGCCATAGGAGAAGATGAGTTTGTCAGAGAAATCTGATTGAATTTGGCGTTGAAGACACTCAAAGCACATTCGATTTTCCATTTTCGCGAACACTGCAGTTTAAGCTCCCTCCATTTCCAAGGAGAAGTAGGGAGATTCAATGGAATCCAATACAAGACCTGTTGGATTTTTTGATTAACAGAAGAGTCCCGGAAGCGTAGTTAGTATACACAACGAACGATGATTGGAACAACACCCAGACCTAGTTCTAGTTCAAATACGGTGCACTGGAAACCAAATCAATACGACGTTGTTTGAATGTCCCTTGCTTTCTATTTTTCCTTTTGTGTTTTCTCCTATATTCAAAGCAACTCAAAATTGGACACGATTGCTTTTGGTTGTCTATAATTGTGCACAGTTTTCTCTAGGGCAGGTGATACCAGGATCAAATTTTCGTCTTAAAACCGTTGAAATATTTTTATTTTTAAAAAAATTAAAATAAATTAGTGATAAAATCAAAATTTTAATACTATGAAGTATTTTTTGGATTTCTTCTTAAAGTTTGGATATCATTTTGATCTGCAAGCTTGACTATTTCGATCAAGATCATGTGATCCAAAAGGAGGCTATTCTATTGATATTATGTACTTTCGTTTATTGGAATAATGAGTCACTATCCGATCTCGGATCTGATAGAAAGGAGAAGTTCAATAACTGTATTTTAGAATACAAGTCAGATGATGCAAGCAAAATACCAACATTCATTTTTATTGGGTTTCACAGTCCAAATTAGAAGTTTTGAGGTATTTTGTAATATTTTAATATATTTGTATAATTATTTTAGAATATTTTAAGGTATTTTTAAGCTATTTTAATATATCTTAACCAATATTTAGAAAAAAATAATTTTTTATTTTTTTTATTATATTTTTAAAACAGAGTCGAAATATTTTTGAAACATGTCAAAATATTTTTGTTTATAAAATAATCGAAATAATGTGCCAAAATAAAATTTTGATTGTCGAGAGATAATAAGTGGTTCAAGCATTTCAAAAAGTGGGATGGTCATTGGTATTGGTATTGGTATTGGTATAAGTAATACTATTGGATGTCAACACTTCACTTAAAATATAAATTTAATGATGTTATCCAATTATATTGTTATAATTATATGCATTAAACTTTTCTAATAGAAGTATATATAAATTTAACTATATCACCAGCCACCTAATTCGTTAAGATATTAGTTGAGTTTTTTTAGTACTCAATAAATATTATTCAACTGTCATGACCTTAGAGTTTTAAGTTTGAATTGTATATTGGTTGCAAATGAGAGGATTTGTCACTTGTAACTTCCATGTGTCATAGCATGACTTAATTTCACAATCAAATTTACAAAGTTTTGTTATAGGTTCTCTCAAGTAGGGCACAAGTAGTCTTCCACTTTCAAGAAATAATAGAGAGTAAAAGAGAGAAGGAAGGAAGAACAATTCATCAAAAGAAATTGTGAGAGAAAGAGGAAAGACATCGATAACATCTCATTTCGGGTAACAGGCAACATTCAAAAAGCATATCATTTGGCCTTGAGGTGAGTGAAGTGTATTGACCAGCTACGTATTTTTCCTGTATCCCTAAATATTTTAAAAATGATACATAATGCTTGTTCATTACTACATGTACAAAATGTTTTACTAAGTGTCTATATACTTATGACATACGATTCTCATTATCTTGATGAATACTTTTGTGAAGTATTGTAACTTAATCACTTGTTTATATGGTGAGACTTTGTGATAGTGAATGGGACCATGATTGAAAGTCTAGGAAAATTATTCCTCTATGTGAGGGTGACTCTGGCCACTAGGGAACAGATCCGAGGGAGGCTGAGGTGACCCTAGTGCTCAACAGTTGAAGGAACAGTGTCTGGTGCATCCTAGTGACCTTCACCGAATCGTCTAAGGGAACAGAGACGGAACAGAGATGGGAGAGACTGTGGTGACCCTAAGTACGATGTTGAATCCAACCTTGAAATATATTTTGGCATTTGGTTAAAATTCCAGGAAAATTATTTCTCGGGTGACCCTGGCCACTAGGGAATAGACTCGGAGAGTCTGAGGTGACCCTAATGCTCAACGGTTGAAAGAACAGTTCTTGGTGTATCCTGGTGACCTTCACCGGATCGTCTTAGGGAACAGTTTTCGAGCGGCAACCCGTGGTGACCCTAAGTACGATGTTAGATCCAACCTTGAGATCTTCTGGCATTTGGTATGGTTCCCAAATATCGTACAAGTCCTTACCAGTATGAGATGAAGATATAATTTATTATTGTCACAACGTTTTTACTGGCTTTGTTTATGATTGTCTATCGTATGTCATACTTATTTTCTTGTTATCAGTTATTATATTTGGTATTTTGGTATGATTTTTTGTTAGAATCCGACTGTGTTATTCTTGAGAAATTGGTTATTTTGATGAAGTTATTTTTTCAAACCTTTGATTTACATGTCATGTGCCAAAAATGTTTTTCCGCTACTTTGAATATGCATGTCTTTCCATTCACTGGGCTTTTTAGCTAATGTTTTTAAAATAATATTTTTTTTAGGTAAACAATTGGAGTGTCAATAGCGGACTCAGGGAATTGATTGGAGACTAATAGTGTTGTGACCTCCGTAGGCCCTCTTTACTTGTTTGGATAATTGGGACAAACAGGTTTAGGTATGTTGACTTTAACATATTGACATGAGATGTTATTTTTCACTCGTATATTATTAGTTTATTATTAGGCTTACGTGTTCCATAGGTTATAGATTTGTGGTTCACGGCCGGTCATGCCTTTGGAGTTGGGGTGTGACAGTACCTCTTAAGACTTTGTTAGAGATGTCATTCTTTACCATTCGCATTGTCCCAATTGTGTGCTTTTACTTCCAAGGTGGGCAAGTAGATCACATCAAGATTACCTAACTTTTTGTTTTTTTATATGGTACCGAAAAATTTGTGGGTTGTACCGTAGTATGCGCCTTATTCCTTTTTGAACAAAGGTCTACTTTGTCACTTCTGCTGCGAGGAGGATGAGGATGCGCCTCGTCCTTCTGCGATATTGCAACCTTGTAATTCGAGAAAGCCCAAACTTATCACGTCAACTAATGATCTCATTTTCTTTTACGACGTGTCACTCTATAGTGTGTACAAATATCTTGATTTTATATCCTTTTGTCACACAACTGGGCAGTGGAATGAACTATTCTGCTTCATTCCTATTGCTTGGAAAAATGATTGTACAGTTGACTTCGTACCTAGCCAGCTAAATTCCTTTGATATCACTGTCAGATATATATGTTTCCTTAGCTTTCACAGCCAACCTATCAAGTCTTTGGCTAGCTTTTCAGCTGACACTAGACACTACACTACATTACTTTCTCCCAATTATACAACTACTATCGTCTTTTGCAATTTCACAAGCTCTAAGATGTTGCCCCCCTGGCAACATTTGCTGATTTTTATTGTGCCCCTGCTGTTACAGATTAAGTTACTGTTTAATCATGTGTTCCTCTCTTTTGAATCTCAAAATTCAACCCCCCCCCCTTCCCCCCAACCCTCCTATAGTCTTAAAAATTGAAAAGGGCATACCCACACCCACACAAAAGCTTAAACTAAAACAGTAGAAATAAGAAAGAAAAAGAAATCAGGAAAAACAAAACATGCCACCACTCAAGTTATATATTCAATTACACAGGTGTGTGCATAAACTTTTTTTGCTTGGGCAAATCTTTTGTTTGCAAATACAAAACGCCATACTTGCCTTTTCAATATGTTTGTATTTGACTTATTAATTCATCTACTATTGTGATCGTCTGCAAGAAAGCAGATGATGTGTCATTATGTGGGAGGGCAGGGTTGGTACTTGGACATCCTGGGCTGGGAATATCAGAGCATCTACCTCAGGGAGTAGGGACAGGCAGTGCCTATTCTGATGTTCAATACCCTCATCTAAATTATGATAAAATGATTCTGGTTTTGGTGTCTGTCAGCCACTGCTAATGTTAGTTGAGTAAGCTTACACCAAACTACTTTTAGATAAGATTGCAAGATCTAAATCGTCACATAATGGTGGTTGCTTTTTCTTTTTTTTTTTTTCCAATTTGTGCATGTTTTACAAGATGATTGTTGGGAACAAAAGTGAAAGCACTTTGTTTAAGTTAACAAATGCCAGAGATAGAAAAAGTAGCATTTTCCATAATCAAACTAGCTAGTGGTGCAGTTGTGAGGTCTACCTGCTCTGAAAGTGTGTGTTTGTGTGTCAGAGAGAAAGAGAGAGAGAGAAGCATCAATTGACTCATGATCCACCACTGACAGTCAGATCTTCTGAATCCAAGTAGAGGAAATCCACCCACGGAACTGCAGTTAAGTAAGATACCAAACAGGATAGATTCCAATTACTCGTGGGATATTGATGTACATATATGAAGAGTGCAGCATAGTGGAAGTGGGTCAGGTATTCTTTAGTCGTAGTTATCATAATTAGTGCGGGGCTTGAAAAGAATGATTATATAGATGATGCAGTAGTACTGCTGTGTAACTAGTTATCCAATGTTCTCCAAACTATCAAACCTCAAACTTTTATTTCAATTAGTGCTGTAACCTTCATTGTGACCAAACAGCCATGTAATTGCCACTTCAAATGTACTATTAATCTTGCAACAAAATAGCAATTTCATTTAATTAATTTATTGCGAGGTTTGTTTCAATTCTAAAATGGGGTATCGAGATCATCTGTTTCTTTCTCAAAGTGACTAGTTTATACCTATATTTGAGCATATGTGTTTCTCACATTTTGCATCAAAGAACAAGTTCTTTACGGAACTAGATCTTGCTTAGCATACAAGGCCTGAAACCTTGAACTACAGCCATTGATTTTGGCAGCTTTTCAAAAAAAACCTTTAGTACAAAATATTCCAATTAGCTGCGGTTTAGCAAAACTTTTTCTTCTTTTTTTTTTTTTCACAATTCTCAATATTTATGTTAGTGCCTGTTGATAGAAGGATTTGATAACCACATCCAGTGTAAGGTTGGGTTTAACACAAATATATGCCAACAGACAGCATATATAGGGCCCCACATGCCAAATAGTTGGGTAGGCTGCGGTTTTCATAATTGGAGTGACACCTATATTGTAGGAATGTGTCTATTAGCTAAAATTGAGTGAAACCCACCTTGCTAACTCCATTGTTGGCAGAGGTTAATAGGGAACGGATGGTGGACCTAACAACTACGGCCAACAACTGACTAGTCATTCTGTTTGCAACCTTCCTTATGATTCACTTAAAGAAGAGAAATCCTAAAGCAGTTTTGGAGTGAACCTCCCAACTCCTTCTCTTTTTCACTCCAAGGTTAACACATATTTCTCTCTAAATTTAAAAATTCTATGGTTAGCAGTTATTTTGGTTAACCATATACCAAATCCAATAACTTTTGCTTTTCTTTCATCAACCAAGCAATAATTGTTAGTGCTCATTAGCATTGAGGGACTGCATAATGATGTTTGGGCCCATTAAACGGGGGGATTAGGATGAAAAGGCAACTATGCTTAAATGTTGGGGCCTAGAATTTAGTGGCTTGTCGCATCCTAGAAAAAGAGAGATCACAGAATATATAGTGATGCTCCCCAAAAGTTCTTAGCAGACTTCTATTGCTAGTTCTTTATCAACAAAGGTACATTAATATTTATGGGTACTTTTCCCAATTTCACAAATATCCTTGAACCTCTCTTTCTCCCCCAACTCACCTTAAATAGCTCAGCATGGGCTGTGTAGTTGTATGTATCTCTTTCATCACTTCTTAGCTCTGATTTTTGTTTTTGTTTTTTTTCCCGAGTGTCTCCAAGTGTCCTTAAATAGCCCATCAAAGGCCGTGGAAACTCTTTCAGATCATTTAGCTCTGGTATAATTTGATGGGACTCCCTCAATCCCCAAGCCCTCCTCACCTTTACCCTCACTCCCTACAACTTAAGCTTTACCAAGCTTTCATATTCTCTATTCCAATCCTTTTCTCTATCATACTGGTTTTGTTGTTTTACTTGTTCTATCTCAAGAGGAGGGCTTCTAGTTTCTCAGCACATCCATCAATTCTTCCAAGGACAATAAATCATGCCACTCAATTCATCCCCTCAGTAAGACCTCTCTCTCTCTCTCTCTCTCTCACACACACAGCATAAAGCACCAGCATTTGTTGCTTGTCTAACACAATATGCAGATAACTCAGTGCGTTAATGGATTCAATGGCTAGTATAGATTCACAACTCGAAAACAATTTTGATTGTGATTTTCCCTATTTTTCATGTCAAATGCAGCCTTGCCAAATGGGCTTGAAAGGAGAATTAAAAGACAAGCTTCCAACCGTCTTGTTTGATGAAGATCTAGAGACAAGGGGTTCAGTGTAAGCTTTTTCATATGTGCATGTTAGTTTGGTTAACTCACTGCAAAAAAATGTATTGATACAGTAAACTTATGATAAGGCTGAAGTTATATTCAATAGTGGTTTGGGGGCATAATAAACAATATATTTGAACAGATTTTTAATAATTTTGACCCTTTTGTCTGCACGACATAGGATTAACATCCTCTTCATTACATTAATACTTACTTTCACTCAATGGTAGAATTAGCTACCTACCATGATTCAAGAATTCAAGTCAAACTCATTATTTATGAGTGAGCCCCTCACTCATACACGGTGGATGGTTTACCATCAACCTCATATTCACATAGTGGATCAACTAAAAATGAACAATCGAGATTGACTGTCCTCCATGATTGTCATGCAGAATGCAGCTTGTAAACAACCATCTTCACTGGCATAACTTTGGATGCACAAAGTCCGATCTTGCTTGGTCGACTTTCATGACAGTTAAAATGTCTAATAATTATCCACTACTTTCCCCAAAGTGAACTGTTTTGGGAATTATAAAGCATTGAAAGAGTAGAATAATAGATTAGTGTCATTGATCTTTACAGGTATGATGTGCTCCAATATAGACAATGGCTAATATAAAATAGAAAAGTGGGAAACAATTGCATGCTTTTTGTTGATGGCGCTAGCAAAAAGCTATGCTTATATTCTCTTGAGCTAAGAGGAGCAGAGCACTACCCAAATTTCCTCATGTCATTACCAAGAAATGGTTTAGCACTAGCTCACCCAACTCTTAACAACACACATAAATCTAATTGGTTGGTCTTAAAGTTGTTTGGGTTTTGGTTGTTGAAGTAATGTTTTTACTGTCTAAAGCAATTTTTTTGGAAATTTGATGGCAGATGTTGTGTGTGTCTGGGAGAATTTGAGATGAAAGAAGAGTTGGTCCAAGTGCCATGGTGCAAACACATATTTCACATGGATTGCATTAACCACTGGCTTTGTTGGAATTCGACCTGTCCCCTTTGTAGATGCCCTATTACAACAGCTGGAACCAAACCTAGCCCTCCAGAGTCGGTACCTTCTCAACCCAACTTGCAGCAAGAAAGCAATAACCAACCCACAGTCATTTTGGAACAGCCACAAAGACAAGGACAACAAAATCGTTCACAAGAACAACAGGTTATAATTATGGAACTATCGACTACAAGTACAGGTTCAAGGCAACACCATGAAATGAGTGGTCATCTAGATCCAGAATCAATTGTTATACATATCCAAACGCACAGTTCATGAGCAGCCCTTCAATTTGAAGATGAAATAAAATCGTTTTGTGATGCCTCGAGATTGTATTGCCTCCATTGTATGCAAAGCCACAAATTCTTATGTGTCATATCTTTCTAAGAGCTGGCTGGACTTGCTTCCATTCCACCACCAATTAATGTTTCTGTCCTCATGGACTTTGTTAATGCCATAAGATAAGACGGATGCAATGGGCAACTTACAATTTTTGCTGTCCTTTTCTCCTTTTTTTTTAAATGTGATATGGGATTTTTCAATCCATCAAAAAGCTATTAGGCACAGCTGGGGTTTTTCGTGAGATTACCATGATAGAATTGAATCAAACTTTTAAGTGAAAAGTATAGTATTACAGGAATATAAAGATAAAAAAAAGACAAAGAGCAGGATGACGTAAGCAAATTGCTTTTGATATTACTCAAGCTCTGCCCACCCCTGGATTGAGACGAAATCGTCAGTGTCAGAAAAGTAACGAATTGAAGAACAATGCGCAAAATGCCATGTTGCTTCTTACGTAGTAACTTTGTCATATTATCAGAGAAATGTTTGACTGATAAAACCTGTACTTGGCTGCTTTGTCCTTTTCATGCTCACACACCAGACCAATTGCTCGTGCGAAAATTTGATGACTATATTAATTAGTGATGTTAGAATGACTCTCTAAGTGTTGACCCCCATATTTCTTTCAATTCTTCAAGAGTAATTTCTGACTAGGGAAAATTCATTCACTGAACGTTATCAATAAGGGTTAAAGTTAAAGCAGAGGATCACGAATGCTGCTTCATCTCATTTCTACACGTGACAGTCAGGGTGACATCGTAGTAATTACAAATAAAATAAAATAAAATAAATACGTTAAAAAATAAAAAAGCAAGCTGCACTCGTAAATAACAGAAGGAACATATAAAGAGGAGGAAAGAGAGAGTTAAGAAGAGGGATGGTCATTAACGTTAACTCCACAAAACCTAAACATTGCATACTTGAACCAAACTCCACACATGATATCTGCATACACACAAAAAACATAGTTAGCAATTCACTTGTAAACCTGGTGTTGTATGGATGTAGGAGATGGTCATCAGCTGGAAACTCTCAAGTGTCAATGGTCGTTAAAATGTAAGTGGATGATTGACATATTTAATATAGTTAAGATATATAAGTGAATAATTAAAATATTTAATCAATTGATTTACAGTGATTTAAAGCTAAAAATATAATTTATAAGATAAAGCGTCAAATCTAAACGTTGTAACCGTCATTCTAGTTGTAAAATGTTGTTTTAGCCATGATGATTGTTCGGTTAGGATGCAAAGGCAATCATTCAAATTAGTTTTCTTTTATCGGGAGGCATTAAAATTTAGGTCTTAATCAGCAGAAAAAAAAAAAAAAAAAAACTATAATCACCTCTCTCCGGTGATCAGTCATCCCTGTAGTACAACTGAAAGCAATGGGCCGTCTCAAATTCAAAACTTTCGCCATCAGAATGGCATTAGTGGCACTGATGGGATTTGCAAACAAACCAAAGCCTCAAACAGCTGCTAGGAATTAATCAAACAAGGCCTTCTACTTCCTGCTAGCCATTTTAAATTCATATAATTGATAAGATCAACTCTATAAAACTGACAATAGTTCATAATTCTATATCTCTCGGTTAATCACTCACCTAAGTTATGTTTCAGGGCCACGTCTATCCAGTTTGCATGTGCGGACGACTGCTACCAGAACCAGATATATGATACTGAGCAAGTTCATCATTAACTCGTAAAAGCAGCTTTTCTGAATTTGCTAGCCTCTTGCCAAGATCAGTGTCACCTGACCTCGACAAGCTACTCATTTGCTGTCGATTTCGCGGTTGGATACTTTGTGTCCCAAATAGTTTTTTCACCATCTCATCTAGTTCTGCCACCTTTTTCTGCAAATTGAATTTGTCTACCTACAAACAAGAAAGTAACATTAAACTTGGAAGGATCTTCTTGACAGCACATTTTATGGTTTGATTTACAAAATGCATTACAAGATTACATGCCTAAGAAATTACTTGTACCTTCAACATTTTGTTTTGTTGGGTCAGCAGCTGATCCCGCTCTTCCAGGTGTTCAACGGTCATATGGGCATCAAATATGTCAACTTCTCTTCTATTTACTTCCGAAATGTATCTATACAAACATGATGGTCATGAAGTAAGACGATGTCAGGGCTATAATAAATTGATTTGCAACGTCATGTCATATGACTAGAAAATACCAGGTAATTTTTCGGAATAGAAAGAATGCTACCAGTGTACCCTCACAACAGGAAGAACCTGCCGGTGAGATATGTTTACGCCTAAAAGCTCCTAAACTAATAGAGACCTCTTGTCAATCTAATTCTCTCCACAATCGGAATTTCCACAGCTCTCCACCATTGAGTTTAAGTGATAAACCAGTGAAGTCTGTATACAGAAAAATTCTACAAGTAGTCTTAGATCCCTGCTGTAAGAACTTTACCTGTAATCCAACAAACATGCTATACATAGAACCCAACCACAACTTCAATTTGCTCAAAATGATCCAATTAAATTTAAAACCATGGTTAAGTGACACATAATTCCTCTACATCTACATTAGTAGTTTGAGTTGTGATATCTTGATATGTCATTGTGCAAGGAAAAAAGATACCAACTCCATTTCTGATTTCAAGGACAGTTCGCACAATGGTACAATTAATAGAAAAACCTAATCAATCAGAAGGTAGTGGAAAATAGCAGAACCTGCCTTTTCGCACAATGGTACAATTAATAGAAAAACCTGATCAATCAGAAGGTAGTGGAAAATAGGAGAACTTGCCTTTCTCTCTCTTCCATTAATTCATCAATCTGCCTCTTTAGATTGATAATTTCTTGCTCCTAGTTCAACAGAAAGTATATATATATAAGCCTCAAAGCTGAACAAAAAGTTTTAGGTTAAACCAAACATTTGTTGAATGTACCATTGCTGTGGACTCTTGCATTTGTTGCTGAGCGCCTTCCACAGCCTTTTGAAGCTGATAATGATCTATCAAATTCTAGATCATGCCAAAGAATTATGCCCACAACCAACAAAAGCAGTTCAGAACAAATATTTTTGTAAAATTTGAATCTGCACTTACTGCATAGTTAGTCATGTCCAGTTTGACACCAAGTAAATCTCGAATGACATCGTGTGTCATGTTTTCTGTCGCAACCAGTCTAGCATTCAACATACATACCTTATGCAACATGGATTGCATCAGTCCATTGAATGAGAGAGAGTAAAACCAGAAGCAACAAAACTTATTTTCAAAATGAAGACAAACATTTGACAAGGATAAGAATGAATATAACTTATGTTTCCAACTAAAACTGAAAATCTTAAAGGGGGAATTCATGGAACTAAATCTGGATTTTGGGAATTTGACTATTGGTGTAAAAGTTTAACGCAGGCAAAACTTAAAGAAAAAAACTAATCATAGTCACAAAGCTGAATACATATACTAATCAAAACCAGGCTTCCACACTTCTCCGGAAAAGACAACTGTGAGACATAAGTTGTTTACCTCTTTCTGCCGACTAGCCGCCAATGACTCTAGTTCTTCGAGGTGAAGCCGGGCTGTTAACAATTCCTGATCCTTCTCCAAGTTCGCCAGCTGAACCAAACTTGCAATGCATCTGAATGGTGAGCTAGAACCCCTTGTCTTCATTGAGCTTCTCTCTGTTTTATCTACCTTTGGTTCTGTAGATGTTAACTTGGATGAATCTGTTTTAACATCGCAAACCATTGCCTCCAAGGTCTTGTACTGTTGATGTAAGATTGAATTAGGTCTAGTTACACAAGCTTATGCTAATATCTAAACTGCCAGTGATTTAATGAAATTACTAAATAGGCCTCGAAAATGGCACTAATCAAGAAGCTCATAAATAATGGAAACGGTTTAGCTTCCTCTTTATTTTCGGCCTTTTTTGGTGTTGATGTAACAATTATGGGTTCATGCTGACAATGAGTTAGAAGAAAATAAGCTGTCTGATTTCTTACCTGTTAGTGAAACTCAATTCAGAACCTCGCATGATGAGTATTAGGAGTCAGTTTAACAAATTCGTACAATTTAGAACATATATGACTATGCCTTCCCAAGTACTACCTCAAGGGCATGAATTGGCATATGTGATTTAGCTATATGGCGTCATTACTATGCGCCAATCATTCCAAAAGGCTTTTACACTGAATTTGTAGACAGAAACTCAGCCTTCTTTTCTGATGCATACCTTCTCTTGATACTGTGATGCCTGTGCTTCAGCATGCAAGACAAGTTCACGGACGTAATCTTTGTATTGTTTGATCTGCAAGATATACCCACTTTTGCATTAGAACAACAGAAACAGCATGCAATAAATGTGTGTAACAGTAAAAGATTTTTTTCTGTGAGGAATAAAGTCGACTAGCAAATCATGGCTGCACCTCTTTAGCTTGTTCTGCTCTTTCCTCCAGAAGAACTCTAATCCGATTGTGTGCCTCATGAAGTAAAACGGACAAATTTTGTGGTGTCCTGAAATACAGTATTTACATCAATTGCAAATTATATTGAAAGCAGAACCGAAAAAGAGAGAAAGAGCACTTTCTGACCTTGTCAGTTGGTTTTCAGCTAATTGTTCTGCATTTGAGTGTACAGAATCCATATTTTCAGTGAAATTTTCAACTGCCAACAATCTCTGTCTCAGTGCTTGGAGTTCCTGTTCTAATGAATCCCTTATTAATTGATGTCTTTCGACGTCTTCTTCCATTTCATTCACCTAAGAAAGGAAATATGCAATTCAAATAACTAAAATACCCAAAGAAAAACCAAATAAATAAATAATATAATAAATTTTGCAGTAAAAACAGACCAGGAGTCGGTGGTCATGAAATCCATAAGAACATACGTAAGTTATACAGCACACTTCTCATACGGATGCACGACGGAACGACGAAATGAACGTTGTTCTACTCTTTACTCTCCCATGAGTGGATTGTAAAATTTTATGAGAAGAAATATTTGAGAAACAAACCTTTTCTCCAGCACATTTATGGTACAATCAAGCTCCTCAACAGATCTTTCTAAAATCTTAACCTCCCCTTCCTTTTGCTCAGCAAATATTTTACTTGCCTCTGACTCCTAGAAAAATTATTTCAAGTTTATGAGAATGAAAAATCAGTTATCTGCAATCACAAAATGTTTTGAATTGTACATGCCTGGCGGGCTTCTATAGCAACAGCTTCATTTTCATTGGCTAATGTGTATGCCATATCAAGCTGTTGTTGCAAGGAGTCAACTAGTCCAAGGAGTTGGTCTCTCTCGCCAGTGACCTTCCTAAAGTCATCCTCAATGTGTTTTGTCGAAGTGATTAATTGTCTCTCTGCTGAAGAAGTCATACGAAGAATTTCTTTTTCTAAACTTCTGACAGCCTCCCTTTGTTCTTCCAATTGCTCTTCAGTTTCTGATTTTTGCACATAAAGATCCTCTAAAAGAATTCTCAACTCATCATTATGATCTGAAAAGATATCTAATGTTGCTTTGGCCTTCTCTAGATCAGAATCTGAGATGAATAGAGCATTTTCGGTCTCAGTCAGACGCCCTGCAAGTGCTCTATGCTGAATTAGTATATCATCAAGCTGACTTGTTTTCATCCGTAGCTCCTGCCGAACTTCGCTTAAAGTTGAAATTAACTTATCTATTTCGTCTTTGTTGTCCTTTGTGCTGGAGGCTGATTCTTGCAATAAGCTAAAATCGAAAAGCAAACCTTTCAATAAAACTTCTTTGCGTTCCAATTCTTTCTTGAGATTCAAATTTTCATTAAGGTGACTGTCATGAGCTAGGCCCAACTCTCCCACATCCAATCCTGTGACCACTGCTGTCTGATTCACATCCTCTGTACTCTTCACAGCATTGACCATGGTGTCATCTTCAGCAACCAAGTATCTCTTTCTCAAATTATTACTAATTTTATAGCCTTCTTTGAGTCTGGAATCTATGCTTAGGCATCTGAATTTTTGAAAGAGTTTATCAACAAGGCACTGTTGTAGCACCAAAGAAGTGATTCCATTCTCCATTGTCTTAGAGCATATATCTTCTAGTGATAATCTTGAGTTTCCAGTACAGTGCAGCATCTCCTGTACAATTGCCAAGGCATCAGAAAATACCACCTCACACATTTCCTCCACATCTCTTTGCATGTGCAGAAAAGACTCTTCCAGCAAAGACATGGCCTTTGCTATTTCTTCCAAGCTGTGACGAGTTTGATTCTGCAGTATTTCAGTTTCTCTCTCTCTCAAAAGAATCAAGGAATTAAGTTGTTTGATTTCTTCAATCAAGCTTGCTTTCTCCTCCTCTAATTCCTGACTTCCTTTTTTCCACAAACAAGTTAACTGTTTAGCATTTTGATTTGCTTTCAGCAGCGCATTTAACATATAATCAGCTTCTTTCATTGTGGCACATGTCTCCTCTAATTTGGAGAAGAAGCTGCTAGCATGATTAATTTTCCCATCAGCAATTAACTGTAAATTACAGAATGTTGCAGAGAAAAAGAGTGAGTGGTATATCTCCTGTCATAATAAAAACCTCAATATATATTTCAAGGTTAGAGTGACATCTACAACTGAAAAACTCAGAGCAATTATTAACTTGGCAAGAATCTAGATGCGGAAGTTTAAGGTGAATTATTACCTGTCTCTTAGAATGGCAGCTTGCTTCAGCTTCCTTCCTCTGCAACTTAGAAGGTCGAATAATTTGACTCACCTCTCGTGCTACAAGTTGATCAAATCCATTGTGAGGTACAGAGTGCTCAATACCACTCACAAATGCTAGTGAACCAGGAAAATATGTTCCCGTATCAGAGCATTTTTCGAATTCTTTTCCACTGAAAACTGCAGCCAACTGAACATTTAATGTGATGAAAGCATCATATATCATCTTAAATTCCTCCCTCAACCACAATGGTGCTGTCTGATTGTGACTCAAATTTTTTACCAGCCTTACCGACTGTTCTGATTCTTGATTATCAGAAGAAAAAGTTGACCCTCCTTCAAACTCTTGGTCCAAAGTTTGTTCAGTAATTTTCCCAGGGCATCCATAGCAGCAACTAAATGAAGATTTATCCGAGCTGTTTTCTGGAGCAATGCTTACAGCTGAAAGGTTAGAAGTCGAACAATCAGCACTCCACCCATCTATTTCTACTAAATTTTCTGCTCTAACTGGGCAACCATACATATCTATTGTTGTGTTAATCCAGGCTCTTATGAAGTTCAACCTATCATTTGTTTCAGCAAGTTCATATCTGATCTGGTGCAGCTGGTTTTCATGTTTTGGAAACCTAGCAATTCCTGATGATGGAATAAGAAGTGGAGGAATATTAACACCTCTATGATTCGCCTTGAACTCCACAAAATTATTTCTCATCTCACGAATGTCATGCACAAAGTCTTGAACCATTTCCTTGTATAAAGAAACTGCTTTCTGGATGTCAGATTGGAGGACAGATAAATACATTTGTGCATCAGCACAAGATGCATTAATAGCATTTCCAATCTCCAACAGTCCCAGCCTTGCCAACTCAATTTGAATGTCAATATCTTCCAATGCCAAAGCATTTCCATCAGCATTCATCTCAGGAGCCTTGTGGCTTCCATTTAGAGACGAAATAACCAGTTTTGAACTGAGTGCATCTCCTACAACAATGTCCCTGGGAACAATCATTGGGCGATCACATAACCATTTCACCACTAAGAAAGCAGCATTAGCATGTTTTTCTGCTTCAGTTAACTGATACTCCTTGCACATGAGTTTATGATGCAAGAAGTCTACCGAACCTATCTTTT